TAATTATTAATAACTATGTTTATAATAATTAATCTCACAGTATTACATTGTCTTAAAGTTTCGACATTAAGATTAATGCAGAAAATCTTAACTAACGAAGGTTTGAGAATAATTACAACTTTGGTTGATAATGTAAAAATTGAATGATTGTTTTATTTTGTTTAAATAGATTTATAATCTGTACATATCTCTTAATACTTTCAGCAGCTGTATTTAAATTAATGTAACTCGATAAGAATTATTCAAATTGCTGTTTCATACATAACATTTTGAAAATAAATTTTATGTAACCAATTTAAAATGTTGGAATGTAATTACAAATTGACAAATTTTTCCTAATTGAACTTTGGAAGTTTTATAAAATCTAGGATTCGTATTTTCCTAAAGAATAGAACCTCAAAAATGTACTCAAACATTACTCAACATAACCAAACATAACCCAACATAACCTAACAGTCTAGACTCTCAGACTGTAGGCTAAATTATTTAGAGATACCAAAACAAGAAGTAAAATAATTTCTACAGTAGTCTTTGCATGCACCATCAAACCGATAGTTCTTTATTCTTCCATTTCGGATGTTTGCGGATAGACATTGGCTACGCGACTCCTTGTGGGATTAAATAATAAGGGTACCGTGTCGGGACGTTTTATTTGGGCGAGACAAATCGCGGGAACAAGCTCGTCATATCGTGGTCGATATGAAGTATGTATAACATTCGGAGAGAGCGATGTTCGCAGCGCCTGACAGGAATTTCAAGTTGGTGCGTATCCTGACAAAACGATTTTCGAGTCCCCCGTGGATCCCGCTGGATCTATTGTGCTCGTTGGGAGCCAGCCACCCCCACGCGGTCCTCGTCGCCAGGCCTCTTTAGCATTTTCGGCGTATCGTTCTTTATGCGGACACCCGGAGAGCACGTCCACGCTCTTCGCGCGCGGTTACGGAAAGAATTGACTTTTAAGCTGGCAATAAAAACGAAAAATGCGAAATCTTTGATTTTAGAGGCGTCGCTCGGGGAGGGCGACAGTTGGTCGATGCGTATAACCTTCGCGGCAACCTTATTTCTCTTATATCGCAAGCGAAGCACGTTCGTACTTCGCCACCATTTCAGAATCGAGCTGCGTGTGTATAGCTCCGGATACCGCAACAGATTCCTAGGAAATCCCGTGGCTCTCATACGTTGAATTTCAACACGCATTGCCCGGAAACGTTCGAAATTACCGGATAAATATTCATCGCGCACTTCAGCATCGACTTTAAGCATTTTCAGCATTGACCGTTGCACTTGCAGCATTTTCTCTGAGCACCTGCCAGCAATTCAAGCACACAATATGTACAGTAAGAACAAAGTTGGAAAGCCTGCAACAATATAAACACAGGGTGACCTGTCCAGTGAATGAACATTTTAACTGCATGTTTGTTATAATGATCGTTATTTAATCCTCTGAATGATATTATCGTAAGCAAGCTGTTTTACTTCTGAACACAATTTAGCAGTATAAAATTTTGAGAAAAAAAATACGTCAAACGATCAATGAATGAATACTTCATCGAATCGATGCATTTCTACAAAATAATATCTGCAAGACATCTACAGATGTGTAATAAAACTACTGTATTTTAAACGTATATAGGGTATGATAGACGTTACTTTTTCATATAATACTGGAGATGTACATTCACCGGAAAGTGTTCATTCATTGAACAGGTAACGCCAACGACAAATAACGCTAAAAAGATTCAATAGGATTTGGCATAGAGTTGCATTAATACAGATTTCGTGAAAGAAAAATTTGGAAAGTATCATAATTATCTGCAGTCTAGTTATGTCCCCTGAAACATCCAAATGTAAAGAGTTAATTTTGTCTCTTTGCACTGGCTGTACTGTTGTTTTCATTCTCGTTGCGCTCCGGATAAATCGCACGATCTCAAACTGCAGGAGATTTCAAACCGGCACTCGTCGCACGCGGGGGTAAGGGCGGACGTTACAGTAGAAAAGGGCTCGACGGTAATCCAGGTACAATGTAGCGTCTGCGAATCGAGTGGAAATTTACATTTAAAGGAGCTTGAAGACACTCTTGGAAGCTACGGCACTGCCACCGTTTCGCTGCTTGTTTTTATTTTCTCGCAATTTCCTCGACGGAGCGGAACGGAAAGCGGCCTTAAAAGGAATTAGCACGCTTTACTACTCCGCCTATCTCCGACAACCCTTAGCCGGAATTTCTTCGAATCTTTGCCACTCGAGAGCTTCGTGATGATCGCGACGATATCACGGCGTCTTAATAACTACCATGAAAAATGTACTGGAAATCTTGCGACCGTAAAATTTAAAGGGTTGGAGTACTGTAAAATAACCAAAAATTTTAGCATTCTATTAGTTTAGATGGTATTTTAAAGCCTCTAGAATGACGTGCAGAAAGTGAGAAGCTTAAATTTAAAACGCGTTCGTCTTAACCACTTGCCGTAATTTTTTTTTTCACAATTACAATGATTATGGCTCTGATATTTATTATGTGTCTATTTTTACTTGAATGCTTAAATATTGATAATAAGGGAACAGATTTTTATTCCGATTTTTAAGAGATTAGAATAACATTCATACTTCAAGAATTCTTTTCAAAATTATGTATAAAATACCACTTTGTAGATATTTTAATTACTATATTCTTTAAACATTGTGAAACGATGTTGTCAAAAGAATTTTCTTTGTAAGATTGTTGTTACGATTAAGTGGAGTTTCAAATAATTATAAAATGGCTCTGATAATGCTTAGATATTAATAAAGAAATATTATCATTTGATTACCATTTGAATTAAAATGATGAAATTATTTATTTTATTTAAAAAAAATTATTAAAACAAATTATTTTATTTTGTTAACAGATTCTGCATCGGCGACAGATTCTACTTGTACGAGAACAAAATCTTGTGCAAGTACGATTACGAGGAAAGACTGGTTTTTGCGAATATGGCGGTGCACCCACCGCCAACCGCAACCCTCGCACAGATTAAGAGACAAGTGACGCATCTTCAGCCACAGGTAAGTTATAATTATTTGACTGGGCACTTTAAACACTTATAAACATCATATGAATAAAGTATTTTACCATTTTATAAAAGAAATTTGCAAAGCATATTATTTTTTATTACATTTTGCAAATAAATATTCCTCTGAATTATTTTTTATAAACTTGAAAGTTTTTGATAAACAGTTTATGATATGTGATAAAAATTTTACGATAAATAGTTTACCACATTCCTAATAAATATATTTTTCGACATTTTGGTATTACTACAGATACGAAATTGCTACACCATTTTTTCTCAATCTTTTTAATTAAAAGAAACCATGAAACTTTTAATATACTATCAATTTTAATATACTATTTTTTATTATTAATATGTATATGTTCAAATAATTATTGCAACAATCATACTGATGATTTTGTTCGAATATGTTTTGTAAGGAGTAGCATCATCTATAAATTGGTATATGCAAAAATAGATATATTCATAATCATTCTTTAATTATTCCAAGATGGGACATTATTCAGTCTGTACAGAAATCATTATAAAGCTGAAAAGCGATAGTAGGGTGATTTGTCCAATGACTGACATTCCTCTGTGAACAAACACGTTTATCATACCCTTTTTATGTTAAAATTTATGCAGTATACCTTTTATACACAACCACAGATGTTATTTCGTTTTTGCTTACAATTTGTTTTATATCCCATACGTTCGAACTAAATATTGTTACTTGAAATCTATAATTTATATTTTAAGGAGATCTGTGATAAATTCATTTGTGCAATATCATTCACTGGAATATTACTGTTGAGAAATACAAAATTTTTGTTCATTCATTGGTCGTACCTTCCATAAAATCTTAGATTACATCTCTAAAAAGAAAACTATCAAAAAATGCTAGAATTTTATTTATTCGGGGGATTAAATAATGATTTGTGAATAATCATATTATTGAACATGCAGCTTAAGTTTACATTCACTGAGCAGGTCACCCTATAACGCCTTCGAATCCGAAATTCGTACACTGACCACGCAAGCGTATCAATTTCCGGGGTACATTGGCCAGGCAGCCTCGAATCTTCCGCAGATTATGATCATCGGATGTTCTGGAAGCTTCAAAACTCCTCAAGATGTAACCCCTTAAGGTGGGTTAAAGTGGCAGGTCGGCCGTCCTGACCCTCTCGACAACAAAGGACTCCCCCGAGGCTTCAGCTATGCTTTACCACCCCACCATCGTCTTACGAGTTAGGATATCGCGTGTCCTTATTAATTAAGCTCGCCCGTTAAGCAAGCCTCATCGCATACCATAACGATCCGACCTCTTGAGCAGCGCTGGAACGTGCGAAAGAATTTACTCTTTGAATAAGGATTCGCCAGCGTCTTAAGTGGAATTACTTAGCTGAAATTCGTGTCCCTGGCGCTGCGAGTACCTTCACCCTCCCCCTCTCGAAAAATGTGTTTCGGATCAGATGATCCAAGGAGCGGGCTCTCAGAGCGGACAATTTTATTCAAATTGTTCGAGTCGAAATTGTCGGTCGGTTAACACGATCCTGTTTACCAATTTATTTTCGTTACAAAGAGCGTAACAATATTTGTTTAGTGTCGATAAGAAGGTTCCACGATCGGGAGCCCCTTACAAGCCGGAATTATGAACTCGTCACGTTAAGCCGTTTGGGTTTCTTGATTATCTTAAGGCAACAGCCGTGCTTCCGAACAATATCTTAAGCCCTCGCTGCACGAAGGACCCGGTCCTGTCTGACCCAAGGAGGATCCGATCTACTTAATCCCGGCTGCGTCTTGCAAGGATGTTTACGTCCCCTAACATGCTTACGTCACGTACAGTAATTTGCCAAGAGCAATATTTAACGCTACCGTCGTCTATCGTCCGACGCGGTTCTGCTTCTCTGTCCCTTAAAATTCCGCGGATCGATAGACTTTCGTGGATCGAGGCCCATTCCCATGCTCTCGAATTCCCTCGACGTGGCGACGGCGATGGCGGCTACGTTTCGCGACGGCGGCCGCCTTCGATCGGCCTTAATCCCCGGTTCATTAGTCGAAAGGCCTGCACGGTTGCTTAAAACTGTCGTTAAGGAAGTTTCGAGACAAAGTTTTAAGACTGGTCGAAGACCCTAGATTGCCCGGGCACACGCTCGAATGGTACGCATGCACAGAATAACGAGGTTCCCGAGTCCGATGATATCAGACTCGGCAGCGTGTACTACTTATAATATGCAAATTTCCTCCCCTTAACCGTTCTGCCAGCGAACTGCGTGTAATTCAGGGGTTGCTAACCCTTGCGACTCTATTTCTACACCACGTAAGTGTTCATGTTCTTGCGCGGAAACCTTCTGCGTGCGAAACCGCCTCTTCGTGCGTGGCGCTCTGCACGCGTGCGTGAGCGTTTACTTCAATTAATATCAGTTTGCACGTTCGCCGGGCTGTAATCCCGAGCGCCGTCCGACGGTATTGCGAAAACGGATTGATCTTGGAAAAATGACCGAGCGAGTGGGAACCAGATACGCTCCTGTTGGAGCTGTGTTAAATAAAGCCCATAAATATTTAACGAAGAATTGCGAATGTCGTGGAACAATTATTCACAGGTTACTTATTCACTTAACACGAGTGTTATGAACACGATGCTATGTGACCGTTGGAAAGTAAAAATGGAAATACGTACGGACTGATTAATTTATGGCCACTTTCGCGACGCGAAATTACCATAAACGAGAATTTTATCTTCGTACATTCGTGCAAACATGTGTAAAACAATGAGAGTTATCTTGTTACAGAACTAAAAGTGTATAAAAGATTTATTAAATGCTCGATATGCAAAGTTTGAGGGAAAAAAAACAAGTTTGGTATTATCCCTATCGTGACTGATGTGAAAAGAATATTTAAAGTCAGCCTCCATCTTTGATGCTCCGCAGATCCAAAACCGTTCGCGGAGTATCGATTGTAGAGGCAGAGGCTACAGCAGAGGGTTATAAATGACCGTTGCGCGAAATGACGGGATGGCAGACTAATGCCAATAATCGGCGTGGCATGCTAATGTCGTTTGCGCATCTATTACGTTAAGCCTGATGGATCCCTCTCGACATGTCGTTGCCGGAGCATGAATACCTTCGATCGCGGCGGGAACACTCAAAGGTGTCTGGCAACCCAACATCCGAGAGACGAAGAGGGACTGAAGAGGGAGAGAGAGAGAGAGAGAGAGAGAGGGGGAGAGGGAGTGGGAGAGAGGGAGAGGGAGAGAGAGGGAGAGAGAGGGAGAGAGAGAGCTGTTCTATTTCCTCGGTAAATGTCGCGGTGACATTTAGCATCTGAATGGAAAAGACGATCGTCGGGACAGCTGGTCTCCGGCGCGAGGTTGACGCGCCAGATAATGTCAGATCAGGAATTGTCTCTAGTTAATTGTCACTGGCGGATGCGAAACCGCTACGAATTTAGAAACTGCAGCTACACAAAGATCCTGGTATCTATTCTACTCACCGTAATTTTCTACGTTTACAACAGCGTGAACAACGCTCTATTCTCTGACTGGAGTTATCCCTTATCCCTACGACGTTCGACATCCATTAATACCTTTTTCGGCTCAATCTTCGATATGTCTGCGTCAGTCAGTGCTAAATAGTACATAAAGTCCATCGAAATAGGATCATTTAATATTCCGAACGTTATTTATGTCCTCAGTGAAATTACAAGCTTCGGGCGAACTGTAACAGTAGTGACAGAGCATCGATGTTCTCAACGCTTTGTAAAATGTCTAAAATTATTGACTAATGCCCTTTATGGATTTGGGATGGTTTTAGAAATTTTCGATATTGTACTTGTTGGTCGTATAACTCACAGAAATATATCGACAATAATATGTAGACCGGCAATTTTTATGCACTTATGACAAAGATGGATCTAAAAAATTTAGAACAGTGGGAAAATTAACCCGGTGCCAGTGTAGTATAAAAATGTGACGTAACGAATTTGATGGGGTATTATATACGCCAATCAATTTCTTTAGCGAAATGTTTTAGAATATAAATTTAATAAGGAAGTCTTCAGTTCTAATAATACACTTGTCAATAACGTTATAAAAAATACAAGGATATGCGTCATGCATTATCATTATCATTATTATTATTATTATTATTATTATTATTACTACTACTACTACTACTACTATTATTATTATTATTATTATTATCATCATCATCATTATTATTATTATTATTGTTATTATTATTAGTAGTAATAGTAGTAGTAGTATTGACATTTTGTTCAAAGCAGCTTATGCAAGTGAAATTGCTACGTCATGTCTAACCACGCCGACGCGCAACGCAGGGTAAAATCATTTTAATAATGTAGATATATTAATCTCAGCTGATTGAAATTATTAAAAGAGGGCGACACACACATCTGGTTACTGATTTTTGCAGTTGAAACAAACAATGTTTATTTTGCATAAAGATCCACATTCTAATAATGACGGAGTACGTTATTAAATCATAATACCAGATCAAATAGTCATCTGTGTTCAGCATAATGATGCATTTACAATACATCATTGTACATAGCTCGGAGCTCTTTTCGTACGATTGTATTTCAATAGCCAGGGTTTGCGCCATTAGCATCTCAGTGTCACTTGAATCGGGCAGCATTAACGGGTGGAAACTGCGTTTCGAGGATCGTGCATACGCTTTAAGTGCGAGGAGATCGTGGGAACGGATTAAACGGGAGCGACGATCAACAGGAGTTAAGGAAGGAAAGGATACGAATTCCCAAGCCCCCGGAACAGCAGCCGGGCTGCCGGAATTAGACGTCGTCGTCACGACGAAATGCAAAGTGTCGGCGGTGCTATCTCGGCTTGACAAAATCGAGGGGGAGACAGGACCACGAAGAAGGAGGGCGTTAAGATTCTTAAAAACCGCGAAGAGGGTGCTCGTCCCGGCCGAAGCAGCTGCCGCCCTTGCGCTCTCCTTAAGCCGCGGCTATGGGAATGGCGGAGGTGTCTTGGCT